GACACACTGACGCTGATGTGTACATCTTATGATTATCCTCTTGCTGTTTTTTAGGTTTTTTTCCCTCCCTGTTGTCAATCAATGTAACCCAGTTTGTTCCGTTTGTCACACGGAACCATCTGGGAAACCGTCATTGGGAAGGGAGTCCCCTTCAAAAAGTAAGAGTTGACGGGCGATGGGATGAACTCTCGGACTTCAAACGCATCACTTGAGGCTTGGCAAGATGGACTCTCGAATACAGGTGACATGTAATACAAACACAACACAGACATTAACAAGCAAATCAGGCCGATGAGGCTGAATCTTGTACACTGGGACATCTTGCTTTCTTTTGCTTTCATGCTCATTGTTCTTATGTGAAGATAATTATTCAATATTTGACTTTAAAGACCAAGTGAAAAGAAGAAACAAATTCCTCAGTTCTAATCCTGTGTTTCTGTGTTTCTTGTTACATGCCAAATATATATATATATATACTGTATATATAAAAATAAATCAACATCAGAGTATTTTTACATCAAATCCATGTCTTTTGTTTTCAGTACAACTGATCCTGGTCCCAGGTGCGTTTACAAAAATATTCATTAAAGTCTAGCAACACAGAATACATAAACCTGGACTTCACTGTTTGCAGATAGTAGTAACAGAGTAACAAAGCAACATGGAGGGACAGGAAGAGATGTGTGTTTTGGATATAAGAGGGACAAAAGCCAATGATGAATTTGATTTAATAAACAAATATGCTAATAAATCATCTCATTTTAAGCAGTGACAATGGAAAGAAAGAGGGAAAGAGGAAAGGATGGAGGTAAGACAAAGCATGACTGGACTCCAAATCAATGGTTCAGCAATGTCACAGAGCATGTAGAAAAGCATTTGCACGTTTGTTATTGACCTTTTGCAACAAGTGACCCCGTCTCACCATTGTGTTCTCCACACATGGGAATAACTGTCAAACACAGTGTGGCAGTTAAAAGCATTCAAAGTCTTTCAAAGTTGTCAAGAGAAGACAGTCGTCTGGTGACTACCAATGAGGTTTTTTTTCCCATGTAGCTCGTGTACATTTAATGAGCGGTGCCTTTTAATGAGTTCGTACACTCGCGCTTGTGTGAAACGATACAAGATGCGATCGATCGCGTCATTAATATTCTTTTAGTCCTGTACTGACCACAGGTGCATCCTGACTAATAAACTCCTCAAACTATACGTGGGGCCAAGCTCTCGAAGGATTAATTCAGCTGCCACAAGCTGACCCGCGTATTATGTTGAAGAGGAAAGCTTGCGTCTAATGTATTTCCACACGGATTCAGCACAGTTTCAAAAGCTCCTCTGAAATGAAATTCATCTGAGGGAGTATGATTATCTTCAAAAGCCGCGGCCCCACTAGAAATGAGCTTTATATGGGCAGTACAGGATCCAGTGGAGGGGGGGGGGGGTACAGCTGTATTCATTAGTTGATGGCATTTGGTTGCCATTGGTTGACTCTGCCTCTTGAGTGTGACAGCTGTGCATATTTGCAATGCGCTATTCGACAAGCTCCTGGTCTAATAGTACACAATGAAGGAAAGCACTTTTATCAACATGGGACACATTTCAGTCTCATGTCACATTTCAGGCTCCAGTGAAAAAAAAAATATATAGCTCATATTTGCCACTCATTTTAACCATTTTTCGGTGCCACTTTTGTGGAACTTAGTTAGCATACAGATTAATAAATTAATGTTTGGGACCATGACAGACTTTTTGATTTTTTTCTGCCTCGAAAAAGTTGGACTCACAGCCTGTTTTATGTAAACGCACAAACTACAAATAGAAAGCAGCTTTTGGATACTTTTTAAGAATTTAAGATTATAAATGTGCTATGGTGAGCAGTTGCCTTTTTACTCAGCACATTGTGTTTTCATGCACCTGGGGGCTACTTCACAAAACCTGACAGTAGATTAAGGATTTTCCAGTTATGCCGACGGAATTTAGACGCGACTCTCAGTTCCTTGAAAGCAGTGGCACAGACGGTATCATGGAGATTTATTCTGTGCAGCTAGCCTGCTCCAGACCAAGCTTTGCCTTAGTTTTATTAACATACCACAGGTAAATATTGTCATTCAGTTAGGGCACTGTTATAATTTCAACATTATGACCATTATTCTTTTGTTTTATTATTCATGTGATAGGTATTGTTACTCTTATGATGTTTTTTTATGTTCTTGTTGTTGGTAGAGGTTTGATAAATATGTTGATGTACTTGTTGAGTTGATTAGAACATGGCTGCAGAATGATTTAAGGTCCAGTTCACTGGACCAATACCCAGCCTATATAGTACTGCATATTCATGGAACAACAGGGAGAGGGTACCACAATGTTTTTTGACTGGGATCACGTGTCTGCTGGGAGTGTAGGAGAGACAGAAATAACAATGATGAATGCATTACAGACATGCTTACACTGTGCATTGAAATGATCACCAACTCCCCCTTATAGTTTCCTCTGTGTCTTTCTTTTTATCTCCATATATACGTCCAAGTCCTTCAGGTTTATAATGTGATATTTGATTTTGAACTCTGCCAACTCTGACATTTTGTGAATTCTGTAGAACACATTTCAGCACAGCAGGCATTATGTGGAAGTCCTTCAGGTACTCACTATGACGCCAGATTGGCTCTCTAGTGTCTAGGTCCTGTTTCAAATATGATAATTTCTATGAGGAGCAATTTGCTGACTTCTCATCCATTATGAACTAAATAAGTAGTTCTACAAGACTGGCATGGTACCTCCAGCTCAGGGGTCACCAACCTTTTTGAAACTGAGAGCTACTTCAAGGGTACTGAGTAGTACGAAGGGCTACTTGTTTGATACAAACTTCCTGAATAACAAAGTTGCACAGATCACCTTTTAATAATAATATGTGTGAAGAGACTGTCTGATCACATGTCAATGTTAATTATTCCTCACAATAATTAAGAAACACAAATATATTTAAACATTTATTTCTGTTCTTCTGTTTCAACATTTGAAAGTCAGAGGTATCACATCTGATATTTTTGTAAATATCTTTCTTGACAGTTTTGTATGAATAAGCACATTTGTAGCATTTGGTTCAAAATCACACCTGTTATATTTTTGTACAAATGATCACTTCTAACATTTTTTATGAAATCATTAACTGTCATATCTTCACATCATGTCTCGTTTGTACTAACCACTACCTTTGTAACATTTTTGAACAAATCATGAACTCTGTCCCATGTTTATACAAATCATCAGTTATGAATATCCTGTGTTGTTTGGCTGTGGAGCGGATGCCATTTATGATCTTCACGACAGGAGTCATCACATGATCAAAGCCGGTTACTTTTGCACATAGCACCTGCTGGTGAATGATGCAGTGGTAATGTAGAAATTTTGGGAAGTCTGGGTTACCTTTACATTGCGCAATGAAGCCTGCATGCCGGTCCGTCATGGCGGGAGCCCCGTCTGTTGTCAGACACCAGCTTTTCCAACGGTACCTTTTTCTCCACGAAGAAACTAGTAAAAAGTCTCGTCTATAGCCGAGGGGGGATCCAACCCTCCGAGGCGCGCGACCGTCTTTCGGGCGCCCGCGTTCAAACCTCTAGTCTGGGCCTTTTCGGTCGGATTACGTTGCCTCGCCTTTACCCCCGTCACCCACGAGTTGTTGCCCCGCGGCCTGTTCCGAGGACTGACGGACCTGACGACGGGGTGCGCTCGCGGCGCGCATCCGGCGCCAACGGGAAGCGCCCGCCATTCAGAACCTGAAAACCTAGTGCGGTGCGTCGGCTTCGTCCTGGCTGTCCGCCTCCGGTTACCCAACTCTCTTATGACAAGAAATATTGTCATTTTAAAATCTACATTAATGCGATTTTGATTCAAAATGAACAGCAACTAAAATGTTTAGACGGAGCTCCATGGTGACTAGTGCTATTTTTAGAACATGCCTTGCGGGCGACCAGGTGCCCGTGGGCAGAACTCTGTCTGTTTGTCCAGCACACATTTAAGTGGTGGAGGCGAATATCACACATACACAATATAAACTCTGTACACATACACAGATATTCTAACGTTGTGGATTTATTGGTTGTAATTCATCTTCAGACTGACCTTGATGAGAGAGTGCAGTCGCTTTGCTGCTTGCTCTTGCCTCTGCTTGCATTTTCTTGCTTCAATTTGCCAGATATATCACATATATCACTCTTCAACGTTTGAGTGAAGACAAATCCAAAAAGTCGTCGAGCTATTTGGGTTGTTAGCTAATGCTAACTAGCAGCTAAGCTAAAGCTAAGTAGCAGCAAGATGCCTCCCTTCTCCACGGACGACTACTACAAACTTCTGCAGAAGATTGCAGTCTTGGAAACAAAAATCCACTGACTAGAAGTAAACGTGGAGGTAAATGGACTGTGTGGGAATGATACCACTTTACCATGGACTCAAAACACTGGACAAACGCAAGCTAAGACACAGCTAACTAGCACAACCAGGCCTACCAAGAAACAGGAGGAGAGAGCAGATAATGAATCTTCAAATGGTAGTCCTCCCTGGAACTCTCTCGGTGCAAAGCCGAAGAGAAAATATGTGGGAGGACGACTAACAGGCAGAGCCCAGCGCCCTGAGATTTGTGATGCGACTGGCTGGCCTGCACTACCACACAGGCAGAACTCCTCCTCAACCCCTGCACTCAGACGGACAAAGCCAAGTACAGCTGAGAAAAGTAAAACCTGCAAAAAACCTCCACAACAACCAAGCCTACAACTTCAAAACAGATTTGCTCCATTGTCGCATGATCCTAAATCTCCATCTGATGACCTGCATAAGCAGCTATCTCCTCAAAGCAGGGTAAGAACTGAGAGTAAATGTGAGAGTAAAAGGCCGCAGGCAAAGCTAATGGCTGGGCCTGAGACTCTGTTGGTGACTATGCTGTAAAAGATGTCAGAACACTGTGCAGCAAGAATACCAAAATACTCTGCTTTCCGAAAGATATGGTCTCTAACATGAGAGACAAAATCCTGGACATCGTGGCTGACTATCCCATGGTGAAAAACATCATCGTGCATACAGGAAGCTGTGATATTGTGAAACAACAGTCTGAAGTTCTGAAGCGAGACTTTATTGATCTGTTAAACACAGTCAGCTCTGTCAAGGCTGAGGTGTTTATCAGTGGCCCTCTTCCACCAGTCAGAGGAGGAGATGAAGGATTCAGCAGGCTGTTTGCACTGAACAAATGGCTGTCAACTGCATGTACTGACCATTCAGTACCTTTTATCAACAATTTCTACCTCTTCAGGGAGCGCAGACATCTTTTTAAGGCACATGGAGTTTGCTTGAACAAGTCAGGGGTAAAACTGTTGACCTCTAACCTATTTTTCTCCCTGCGTCATCCGTCTGTTCCTACTGCCAAGGACAAGACACAAGAGGAGTCTAAACAAGAGATAACCACACAGCATCGCCATGGAGACCTTACGGGAAGGATGCCCCCGCCTAGCGACAGCCATAAGGAGGAGTCTCCAACCTCATCATCAGGGACCGCCCCCGATCTCCCACTTTCCCCACCCTTCTGTGACGAGGAGTCTTTACCTCCCTCCCCAGCACCTACTTCGACCCCCCAAACTCCATCCAGGTCCCTTTCCTCTCTCACACTCTCTCCATCCTCCCCCCACCTGGAGTTCACTGACCACATGAAAGAGCTGGTCATTGCTGGAACCAAACACACTCCTCGCCCCACTCCTCGACGGCTCCACAACCATCCTCTGACTCCCCTACCTGATAAAGGCAATAATTGATATCTTCTGGGTCCAGGCTACAAGGCTAATGACACCAATGACTCTCTCCAGGAAAAGTCGGGGCCCTGTATGCAGCTAGCCTTCTCAATTCCTGTTCTGCTAGTTTATAGAAAAAGAAAGGTGAGGCTGCGAAGAAACATTAGTAAACCTGCAAACTTATCAAACTTAACATACATTCCTCGTCAGCCTGTCCAAATAAATTGGGCAAAGAAAGCTTTAACCACATTAAACTTAGCTTTATTAAATATCAGGTCTCTGTCAGGAAAAACATTTTTAATCAATGATTTTATTGTTAGGCACAAACTAGATATTTTGTTTTTAACTGAAACATGGTTAAATCAAGATAACAGTGCAGCTGTTCTTATTGAATCAACACCTCACAACTTCAGTTTCATGAGTGAAACAAGAGCGCATAAGAAAGGAGGTGGAATTGCTATTTTATTTAATGATTCTCTTCAATGCAAGCAGATGTCCTTTGGTCATTTTAGTTCTTTTGAATATGTGGCTCTGAATTCCACTCAAGCTTTATTCCTAAACATTTACAGACCGCCTAAATACTGTGCAACCTTCTTTGATGAGTTTACTGAACTGCTGTCTATAATCTGTATTGATTTTGACTGTGTTGTTATTGTTGGCGATTTTAATATCCATGTTGATAATCCCCAGGACAGAGGGTCTATAGAACTATGTGGTGTCCTTGATAACTATGATCTGACTCAGCATGTGACACATCCACACACAACAGGGGGCACACTCTGGACCTAATCATCACCAAAGGTGTAAACATATCCAAGGTCGCTGTGACTGATGTTGCACTCTCTGATCATTTCTGTGTTTTCTTTGAGAGTGCAATCTCCTTGCACACAAATGTCCAAACCAAGGTTGTGACAAAGCGTTACATCTCTGAAAACACCAGTGAACTATTTATTCAGAAGTTCTCCTCCACACCAGCCCTCTCTTGCATCTCAGTCAATGAGCTTGTAGATGGCTTCAATTCTAAAGTTGAAAATATTATTGATGCCATTGCACCCACTAAAGTGAAGGTTGTCTCGGGTAAGCAATGATCTCCTTGGAGAAATGCTATGCTGGTCAAAATAGAGAAACGAGAGTGTCGGAAAGCTGAGCGCAGGTGGCGAAAAACTAATCTCCAGGTTCACTGTGACATCTATAAAGAGAGACTTCGCAATTATAATTTGGAACTTAGAAATGCAAGGCAGTCCTTCTTCTCTGACATCATAACCAAAAACAATAACAATACACGCGCCGTATTTGCTACAGTCGACAGGCTAACAAACCCTCCAGTGTCGGTAGCTGCTGAGCTCCAATCCATGCAATCAATTTGCCTCCTTTTTTACTGACAAAATTCAGAAAATTAGACAAGTAGTCAGTGCCTCGACACCAACCACAGGATATGTGTTGTCCCCTTCTCTAAATAACATCCATTCAAATATCATGACACAATTTCATTCAATCGACCGTAGAAGCCTAGAAGACATTATACAACATCTGAAGTCATCCTCCTGCTGCTTGGATATTCTACCAACACACTTTTTCAAAAATATTTCAAACTGCATGACCACTGATCTTTTACAAATTGTAAACACATCCCTTCTCTCAGGTGTCTTCCCACAAGCCCTAAAAACTGCAGTTATTAAACCGCTCCTAAAGAAGGCTAGTTTAGACTCCGCAACAATGAAAAATTATAGGCCAATATCAAACCTCCCATTTTTAAGTTAAACAATTGAAAAAGCGGTTTTCCAACAGCTGAACAAATTCTTGGCCGTAAATAACTGCTTTGATGTCTTCCAGTCAGGCTTTCGACAGCACCACAGTACTGAAACTGCTCTTGTTAAGGTTTTCAACGACATCCACTTAAACACAGACAATGGCAGAAGTTTAGTCTTAGTATTACTGGATCTCAGTGCTGCATTCGACATGGTCGACCATGCCATACTCCTAGAAAGACTAAAAATCTGGGTGGGACTTTCTGGCACAGCACTTAACTGGTTTGAATCCTACTTGAAGGACCGAGAATACTTTGCGTCTGTAGCTTATTACACATAGCTGACTAAAATGACATGTGGTGTTCCCCAAGGTTCAATACTGGGGCCACTTCTGTTCAACATCTACATGCTTCCACTAGCTCAGATTATGGAAAACAACAAAGTGTGTTATCATAATTATGCAGACGACACACAAATCTACATAACTATGTCACCAGGGGACTATAATCCCATACAAGGGCTGGGTAACTGCATTGAACAAATCAACAACTGGATGTGCCAGAATTTTCTTCAATTAAACAAAGATAAAACAGAAGTAATTGTTTTTGGTACCAAGGACGAACGATTGAAAATCACCGCTCAGCTTCAATCACCGATGTTAAAACCCACAAACCAAGCCAGAAATCTGGGTGTAGTTATGGATTCAGACCTCAGCCTGAACAGCCATATCAAGACAATTACAAAATCAGCCTACTATCACCTGAAGAATATATCAAGGATTAGAGGACTTATGTCTCAACAGGATTTGGAAAAACTTGTCCATGCATTTATCTTCAGTAGACTGGACTACTGTAACGGTGTGTTTACAGGTCTCTGTAAAAAGTCAGTCAGAAAGCTGCAGCTGATTCAGAACGCTGCAGCTCGAGTCCTCACTAAGACCAGGAGGGTGGATCACATTACTCCAGTTCTGAGGTCTTTGCACTGGCTTCCTGTCAAACAAAGAATTTACTTTAAAATCTTGCTGTTGGTTTATAAAGCACTGAATGGTTTAGGGCCTAAATACATCTCTGATCTGCTGCTACCTTATGAACCATCCCGACCCCTTAGGTCGTCTGGGACTGGTCTACTTTCTGTTCCCAGAGTCAGAACTAAACATGGAGAAGCAGCGTTCAGTTCTTCTGCTCCACATATCTGGAACAAAGTCCCAGAAAGCTGCAGGTCTGCTGAGACCCTCAGATCCTTTAAATCAAGATTGAAGACTTTTCTGTTTGCTGCTGCCTTTAATTGAACCAGATCCAATTAATATATTAATCAATTTCCTGCATTTCTGCATTCTACTACTGTATTTTATTTCTTACACTGTTTTTATTGTTTCAATGAATGTTCTTAATTGTTTTTAAATCTCCTTTTCTTTTGCCTTATGTTTTGATGCTTTTAATGGTTTTATGTGAAGCACTTTGAATTACCTTGTTGTTGAAATGTGCTATACAAATAAACTTGCCTTGCCTTGACTTGCCTTCATAGTTTTCATGGTAAATTTCCTGAGTAACATAACCTCCACTGCTCATGTTTAAGACAAAGTATATAACTGTTCATTTGTGCAAATGGATACTTTAATTCCTTTAGTTTTATAATCATGACAGTTTTAATTAAGAGCAGTAGTTTGTAAATTAATATTTATGGCTACTTATGCATTCAGTTTGTCTGTTATCTGCCACGCCTTTAGCATGTTTCTGTTTTGACATATTATATGCTTTGATCGGCCTTGTCGTCTGTTAAAGAAAGCTGTAAACGCGCACGTAATCACTTACGCCTCGTTTAACCTAGTCACACCTCCTCAACCTAGCTTGTCTTGTGTGAAACGTGTCAAATTAGGATGCACTGACTTTGTAGGTCTGTATAGGTTTGTATAGCTCAAGCCTCGCTTTTTCGGTTATCCCGGATTTCTTAATCCTGCTTTGGTGAAATAGCCCCCTGATGAATATAAGTTGAATATTTACAGTCGGGGTCTTTAGCTGGTACCCGCTATCCTTACCAGCTAGTCCCGTGCTTTCTATATCTACCGTTTGGAGCTGGACAAGTACTCTACGATGACTTTTTTTTTTGCAGTTTTTTTTGGGTAAAGCTGAACCAAAACAGTAAAGCCAAAATAAAACCAACTTCAGTTTTACAATGCAGAAAAACATTTGTTGAGATGCAACTTTGTCACAAATACAACATATTTTTACAGTGCAGCCAGAAACACTTTTTCTGATTAAGAAGTCAGTCAAAAATAATTACAACGGCAATATCATTTCATGCCGCAAACGACACAAGAAGACTTCCACACAACAGCAGGACGCAGTGAAAGGGGTTGCAACTTTGCCAAAGAGTTCGCAGCCCGTCACATAAAAATGATCTGCTGATTAAAAAAAAATGCAGAGAAAGGGGGGAAACCATTTACCAAGCAGACCTCTTGCTACCATCCACATTCTGTCCAGCTGAACCGAGCTCCACACTGCAGACAGCAGGTCAGCAGCAGCATCTTTCACCTCCTCCTCGGGGCTTGTTTGGCAAGCAAAAGCTAGTAACTAGCCCGATACGTAAATGAACTGCAACATGCATGCCTACATTTATTAGTGCTTAAAGTGGTGGTTTGCAGTAATTGTACGCGGGGGGAGGTGGAAATGAACAGGGTCAGTGTTTTGTACTGGTAAGTATCAGGCCAATTCAAAAAGTGCTTCTCATGGGGTGAAATTAAATCACATAAATGTACATAGTGTGCATAATTTAGTGAGGTGCTTACCTCCAAATGAAAAGCTTAAAAAGCTGGGAACTATGCTCATCCTTTGAGAGAAATAAGGACCATAAGACAGCCATGGGGCAAGACAGAGACAGGTGGATAGAAAGAGGAACTATATGAGAAATAAGCTGTCGCAATCTGGCTCTGAGTTCATGACAAAAGAGGGAGACTCAGGCTGAAGGCAAATCATAGGGGATTTATTTAAATGAAGTTGATGGCAATAAACCCCAAAACAACTAGGAAAACGATGGGATGTGATAATCAGTAAAATCAGTGGCGTCGTTGAGTGCTGAGTGTGGCGTGAGAAATAGACGTCGCTTGGATCAGTAGCAGAACAATAATGCACGGGAGCAAAGGGAGTTTCGCGGCCAGAAAGGCGGAGCACCGGGCCCAGGTGCCTCCAATAGGGCGATCAACACCCCCAGGGACCTGTTGCATTCAATAGACTCATACATATACAAATAAACAAACCAGCGAACAGTCACAACAGCACAGAGGGCTAAAGTTGAGATTACACTATCCTAGGGAGGCTTGAACTCATGTGGGCGCTTGTTGTTTTTCAGGGAAATGCGGCGATCCATCAATGTAGTTTGCGCCTTTCATTCTCTCGATCGTTCATTTCATTCATTAGTGATCCCTGTCCCCGCTTGTGCAGGCTCGTGAGAGTGTGGGCGGATATTATAGAATATTCTATTAGAACATTGGCTCTACAGTCAGAAACCACTGGAACAGACGTGGAGGAAAAACAGTGGGAGGAAAAATACAATTGGAGTCGCTTTTGCGCACGAGTCAATACACTAAACCCCAGAGTTAGTCAGTGTCATCCAATACGCAGTCAGAAGTTTCAAAGTGGCTCATGTGCTTAAATGTTGGGCTATTAAGATCAAGCAATGGCTGATGACAAGATAATACTATGCAGTGGAATTATGAGGAAAAAAATGAAACCAGACTGTCCACACTGGAGTTAGGTGTTCAAGAGTCCAGATTTAGTTCTGTGAATTGGCCCCTCACCATTTTTCCTTGCATTTAACCAGCAGGAAAAAAAAAACACAGGCAGTGTTGTAGCCAATGTATTTTGTCTTTCTCCTGTGGCTACGCCACACAGGTTCTAATTAGCAACGTCTAGCTCCACTGATAAAGAAGTGGAAAGTAAACCCAACCTCCTGAGGAAGGGTTCAGAACAATTGTTGATGGTTTCTTACTGTCTGTGGTATTTAAAAGACCTTTTAGATCACTGTCTTTGTCTTTAGACAAGATTAGCACACATTTTCTGGCAACTGGCAGACAGCAGAAGGCCCTACTTGACAAAAAACTGAAATCCTTCCGCTACTAGACTCCTCATGCCATCCTAAATAATCAATCCCAATCTGGAAGCACTAACATCATGACTCGTACTGTGAGTAAATTTGTCCCTGGAAGGAAGAGGAGTTAACATTCATACGTGAGCACTTTTTACACGGGGACTGCATTGTTTTGTCACTGATATGAACTCCTGCCTCCTTCTCTCTCAGTTATGCTGGGTCGTATTAATACCAGCCTGGTGCCATGACTCGATTTCCCCCTACCATTCTGTGTCAGAGCTCGCCTGCCACTATATTTGTCATGCAGGGTGACAGGAAGGAAAATAAAGCATGGAGGAGGATGACAGGAAGGAGGGAGAAAATAAGGCAAATCCGCCGAAACAATTCGACTGATCTAATTTTGCAGCGATGACTGGGAGGAAGCACACTATGCTGTCATGTACATCTGTCCCTTTGCTCCTCCCATCTGTGGTGACAGTGACTCCAATGACAAAAACACTTTGAGCTGTATCGCATGTCACATGCAGAGACGTACAGCACTGCGTGCGCTAATCGTCTCTTGTGGAGGTGCGGGGAGGGGGTAACAAGCCTGTATTGGTAACCCCTGCATACCTTGTGCATGTATGTGACTATAAATGTAAATGCAAGATCAGACACATGCCCCAACTCGTCAAATACGTCAGGGCACACGATTGGGCCGCGAGCGCCACATAGAGGGCCGCAAACAACTTTCAGTTTTGCACCTGTGGGCCGTGGGACCGCGTAGGTTATCAATTGAAGACACCAGAGATATTACTGTTATCCATGAGACGCTCAGTTACAATATAGCTTCCCACCACCTGGTGGCGGCAATGCGTCAGTCAGTTGTTTAACAAGCTCCAATAAGCAGAAGACGACACTCAGCTAGCCGCTAGCCTGTAGCGAAAGTTATGGATACGTTTTTAAAAAGAAAAAATTAAGACGACAGTGGTGCCGTACCCCCCCCCAAAAGTCTAAATGTGTGCGCAAGTACAATCCTGACTTTCTTAACCCCTGTATGGTGTTCGGGTCTGTGGGACCCGTTTTCATTTTTCATCAAAACAAAAATAATATGATTCATTATTTTTTCAAACTCAGACTTATTGGCCTTGGCTCATTTTCTGCGAAGAACATATATCAGACAAAATTTTCATCGACCGCACACCGTAACCCCCCCCCTACACATTTATATTACATACAGGGTGTTCGGGTCCACTGGACCCGGGCTAATAAAAGTGTGGAAATTGTAGGTCCTGTGTACCTTCAGTCTGTCCTCATGTCTGGGCCTGATGTAAGTGTGTGTGTGTGTGTGTGTGTGTGTGTGTGCTGGCAGCCTGTCAGCAGCCAGCCCCAGCCCATCAGCAACCAGCTAGTGAAGAAATATGGATGTCAAAGAATGGAGAAATTGAATGGTCTTTTTGCCCAAGAAGTGAGCCACCACGCATGGCTGCCAATGTGATTAGGATGCAACCAGGGCCAACACGAATGGCAGTTTCTCATGTGCATGACATCATGTCTTCTTTTGAGCTTTTCATTCCAGATGTCATCCAGAAAATTATTCTGGATTGCACTAATTTAGAAGGAAGACGTGTTTTTGGCGAGAGGTGGAAGGAGATGGACCAAACCCATTTATATGCCTACTTTGGGCTTCTTATTCTTGCTGGAGTTTTCAGGTCAAAAGGGGAATCCACAGAATCCCTGTGGGATGCGGAAACTGGCAGAGAACTTTTCCGTGCAACAATGTCTCTGCAAAACTTCCAAATAATTTCCAGGACCATCCGGTTTGATAACCGAGAAGACAGACCAGCTCGACAGCAGAGAGACAAGCTAGCTGCCATCAGGACAGTGTGGGACAAGTGGGTGCAACGCCTCCCCCTGTTTTACAACCCTGGGCCTAATGTCACCATTGATGAGCAGCTGATGCCATTTAGGGGCCGCTGCCCCTTTAGACAGTACATACCATCGAAACCTGCCAAGTATGGTATAAAGATCTGGGCTGCCTGTGATGCGACTTCCTCATATGCTTGGAATTTACAAGTATACACTGGGAAAGCTGATGGAGGACGCCCTGAGAAAAATCAAGGGATGAGAGATGTCCTGGACATGGCTCAGGGACTCAGTGGACATAACATCACATGCGACAATTTTTTTACATCGTACAAGCGGGGACAGGAGCTCCTAAAGAGGAAGCTGACCATGGTGGGAACGATGAGAAAAAACAGGTCTGAGCTCCCTCCTCAATTGCTGCCAACAAAGAACAGGCCTATCAACTCGTCCAAGTTTGTCTACACGGCTGACATGTCCCTGGTATCCTATGTGCCAAAGAAAACCAAGAATGTGGTACTCATGAGTACACTGCACAGGGATGGAAGAATCTGTGGCCTGGCGCATCAGAAACCAAAGATAATCATGGACTACAATGCCACAAAAGGAGGGGTGGACAACATGGACAAGCTGGTGTCTGCCTACAGCTGCAAGAGGAGGACCCTACGCTGGCCACTGGTGATTTTCTTTGACATACTGGACATCTCGGCGTACAACGCCTTTGTCATCTGGATGGCATTGAACCCAGAGTGGAACAGAGGGAAGCTCCAGAGGAGACGCCTCTCTCTCTCGAGGAACTTGGAAAGACACTGGTGAAACCACAAATCCTGAGAAGACAGCATGTTCCGAGAACCTCAGCCTCTGCAGCCACCGTGAGGAGGATTCAGGAGGACAATGCTGGTGCCCCATCCACCCAACCTACAGAACCACCATCTGCAGAGCCTGAGGTAAGTGTGTGATGCTGTTGCAGTATATGTTTGAAACTCATACCTTGCGAGACAGAGGTTTTAGTAAAATTCATGATCTTTTCATCATTCTAGGTTGCGGCCGGCAGCAACAAAAAGAAACGCTGCGAAGTGTGTGGACCCAAGACGGACAGAAAGACGCAATATACATGCATCAAGTGCAAGAAGTACATATGCAAAACACACACAGTAAAACTCTGCCACTCATGTGTTGAATAGGCTGGTGTTGTATAGGCTGGTATGAAAAGGCAATGTGTTCAATGTGTTCAATGTAAACTGTGTGTTGTGCTATGTAAAATGACCTGTTACTTATGAAATTCAATGAAATGCAAATAAATAAAAGTCAATAGTTATGAACAACCTTGCTTCATTTGTAAATTTGTTGAATTTTGTCCACTCATATGTTGATTATAATTGATTTTCTTGATTTTATCAACAAAAAAAAAACGAGTAGCACTGTAATTCGTAAATGTGTTATAACAAAGTTAAAGGGCAAATATTAACCATATTTGCTGTTTATATTGCTTCTAATTGGGATGAAGAAAACATCTGTTGAGTATTTTAACATAAAATTGTTTGATTGTGTTGAATTAAAAACCCAAAAATACAGCAGGTCCAACAGACCCACAACACCTGCTGAGTAACAAAAAAATGAACACCATAAAAGGGTTAAGTACGGCTTTGTGAACGGAGGCAACGAGGCAGAGCCGAGGGCTCTGTGTGTGGAATGTGGGCTAATGCTATCAAACGAAGCACTGAAGCCTTCAAAAATAAAGCCACACCTAGCGACAAAACATCCAACGCTCGTGGGAAAGCCTGTTGGGCTTCTGTCTTGTGTATGCAGGTTTACATACACATGATAAATAAATGTCTTTGTGATCATCACATTGTATCATCTCATTTATTTGACAAGGGTTTTGCCTGTTCAACTCCGCGAGGACGCCGGCGTCCTCGATCCCCTCCCCTTCCGTTCCTACGGCTTGCTTGCGCAAACTACGTCACAAAACATGGCCGTGTTTGGTATCCCAGCATGCCCCAAATCCTCATCTTTGCAAAGAAATCATCGATTGTCTTTCATTTCTTATGGATTTTTCACAAAAGGAGCCCAAACACACACTGTCCAAAGTCGCCATAACCGCTGCAAGTCGGATCTTGCAGCATTTCGACGGAAAAAGACACATTACAGACCCAACAATGTGCTAGCGGATGTTACCATCTAGCTAGTGGCTTCAGAAAACGCTAGTCCTTATAGTACAAACCTTATCTTTCTTTTCTATAAGCCGTCAACCAACGTATAACCTTGCGTAACTGAGTTACCTGCATACTCGATCGTGTGCTAGATCGCAGCCATTACGCACAGCAAGTCCGCTACTCGCACACCACGTCTTTGACCATATATACATAGTTTTTGCAATTTGCAAAGGCTAAAAATAAAAGGAAAATAATATAATATCACAATATAAAGGGAGGTGTTTCTCCCTTTATATTGTGATATTATATTATTTTCCTATTATTGTTTAGTGTGTCAGAATATTATTTGGTTACAATGTGTCAATTTGGGTCTCCAAATATCCTTTTAGAGCTCCGCCTGGATCTCTTCATGGAAGAAACACTGTAGAATGGTCATACTTTGTCCAATCTTCTTCAAATTTGAGGCAGTTGTTCACTGATAGTGTAGTTACAGCCCTATACTGTCCTTTACCTGTACAGATACAGCCACGGGCAGTTACTTATACTGAAAGATACTTTTTTATTTTATGCGGACAAAAATTTTTACTGACTCCAAAGGCCCACTGCTCTGTTTCTGTATGACCTACAGGTTTTCTGACACTTTTGATGCATATAGTCAGAGTGGTTCAGAAGCTACAGCCATTTTAATTTGGGTATGTCATTTTAGGCGGTTTTGCTCCAAATAGGGGTGGAGTTGAACAGTTAACAATATAGTTATTGAATACAAATCAAACCAAGAGTGAGATCAATTAGTTCAACAAATAGTGTTAATATTTGAATGGGCCCGGGACACTTTGTACTTGAAAAGTTGGGCCCCGAGGTCAAAAAGGTTAAGCACCCCTGCTCTAGAGTCAGTTTTGCACGTGACAGTTTTGTTCGCGTCAATTTCTGCTTGCTACATGCATACACGCTTTTCAAAATAAACTTTCCCGGTTAGGGTTCAGGCAACAAAACTACTTGGTTAGGTTTGAAGAAAGATGTTGTTATGGGTGGATATATAAACTTTTGTAACGTAGTTAAATCGGCTGTGTTACATACGCGATGTAACTTTATGAAATTTGAGTTACGTATGTCAGTTAAAATAAGTCAACGTTGCCCATTGGTTTTACACGTGGCACAAACTCGGGACTACTGGGTAAAAGTCTTGTGTTTTTTAGTCATTTTGTCAAACCAGACCTCCCTTCCTCACTTACCCCCGCCATAACTAGAACGTTACAGTTTGACGCGTAGGGCCGCTGACCAAGCTGCCATATTTGACGACTTGGGAGTAAGATCATAGCAACAGCATATGTGATGATTCATAATGGACTCCAAAACAGAAATTTCTTCTTCATAACTTGCCAGTGCATACACGTACCTTGTCTTGTGGAACTGTCAAATATCCATCTCTTATTTATTAGTTTAACATACAAACAATATAACTGTCACATCCTTTTCAGATGTGCTTATTGCTCTGTCAGTGCGCAGCGAGATCAAATGTATTGTCATGTCACATAAAAGTAATAGATATTTTTTGACAAATGAAAGCAGGTTTTATTTCAGGTAAATGGGTTCAGTGGGTGCTCGGTGCTTCTGTTTGAGAGAAAAAGAAGAAAAACAATACAACTTCTTTATGTTTGTCTTCATGAAAATTGTAATGGAAACAGTCGTGTAAAGCTAAACCAGCAATAGATATATCAATTGATTATGAACAGCCTATATCATAGGGCTAACAATAACTAAAATAATAAGTTGTTGGGTTTACGCAAACATACAATATATCAAGACCTTGAAAGCCTAATTAAAATACTTATTTTTAGCTAATGCAGTCTACATAAAGGCCCTAAAGCCTTACTAGTCTGAACAATCATGCCTTCATCATCATTATGTCATTGTAAGATCGTAATTCTTAATTGTCAAGTGAGAACTCTGGGCCCTGTTTCCATGCAGGCAAGTTGTGAAAGGCATGGCTTTGGGCCAGTGGAGCGGGAGGTTTGCATGGAAATTTGTAGTTGATTTCCTCCTTAACATCACCTTTTAATATTCTTTTAAATGTTATTGTGGTGGAGTGTAAATACGTGACATATGTGTCAGGTTTTTGGTAAATTTTAACCACCAATAAGACAATAAAAAATGTCGATCAATGCAAAGATGGAACTGGTTTGTAGATGTTTTATGAATGATAAATACATTTTTGCTTCATTTGTACTGTTCTAGCATAAACACGCTCTGTCTTTTTCTCTCACAGACACACACACACACACACACACACACACACACACACACACATTCCTATTACCAACAGTGGACTATCACACTACTCCAACCGAGGTTGGACCTCTGTTTCTGGTTATTTTGAAAAACCATGAACAGAAAGAAAATTTACTTTAAAAGGTCTTTTCCCATAATATTGTTTTAAGAAATTGCCAAGAGGGGACATATATCCTGGAGCCATGTCTACCTATCATAAAGGGGACCACCATACGTGTACTGCAGTGGAACTGTCAGCAACCTCTTGGTGAATATGTAACAACTCTGAGGTCCATTGATGGATAAGAAGGTAACTGGATGCATACACACACACACACACACACACACACACTAAACACCCCATAATGCTCAACCCCCCCATTGCCCACACACATACACTCATACACTATCACATACCCATCACAGCCTTGTGATGAATACAAAATGACATTTCAATTTAGCTTTTCCCTGTTGTGATGCTGTTACACTCGCATACCAAATCAGCTCTTTCGCTCATTTCCCATCTCAGTCTCTCTCCTCATCTCTCACAAAATGAAGAAATGCAAATAAGGTAGAAAAATACAGGGGAGTAAATGCTTAATGTGAACATATAGAGAGAGGTAGATTATATCCGCACCTCATCCAGTCATCTTTCTTTCCTTTTCCTTTCCATCCATTGCTACACTGTCCCTCTCCGAAAGTCGTAACAATTTGCTTTTTTAACACTGTGAGTGCGCACCATCATTTATTGGCTGTACGGACTTTGTGTGTGCATTCATTCACGGCCTCCTGGATATCAGTCCGGGCCCGTAATCAGCTCCCTCACCAATCAGTGCCTGTTGTTCAGAGTAAAATGTCAAACCAGTCAGAGCCCACCATTTAGAATAAACGGACAGCCAATCACAGGCTGCATTTCGCATAAAATGGAAGCCAGATGGCTCAGTTGGACCAGAATCCTGTGAGTGACAGAAATCAGAGAAAGACACATTTGTTTTGTCCACTTTTTTTTTTTTTTTTCTCCTTCACAGGCATGGATCAATCAGTGAACCAACCATACTAGCCATTATTCAGCCCAGTCTGACTTCAGTATATACCATGAATTATTCATCTAACTTTCACAGTTTCTACTAAATAGCTATTTCTTCTATTCAGTATGGATGGTTTTTCTCATTAACTTGAGGCTAATTGAGATACCTATAGTACATTAGTAAATTATACAAATACAAGGGACACATTCCTCACTGGCCAATGATAGAAATGAACATGTTGGCCTATAACATGCTTCCACTGTGGAATTTCAGATGGAAACATTCAGGAAATGTTATCTTTCTCTCGATAGGTCAAAAAAAAACCTGGCAATATCTAACAATGGGGCAGTCAAAATGAGTATTACACTGTGTACCAGGCATTTTACAGCTTGTCCACCAAAATAATTATATTAGTTTATGTTTTCCAAAGGAAACAAAACTCCGTTAACTGTCAAATATGGCAAAAACAAACCAAGAAAGACGTCTTAATAGAAAGCCTCCATCTTA